GATTTTGCACTTTTTATCATTTTATTTTTTACATTTTAGTTCGGCTCCTTATTGTTATATTTTCATTCAGAGATGCCGATAAAATGTTATAAAATTTGCGAATAGGTTTAAGAAAAACAAAAACAGCGATTAGGGTGGCTCGCTGTGCTGTGATTGGCTAATATTGCAGTAGCTCTACGCCATTGGTTTATCAGGTGTCTGAAACCGGAAGTGCTGGTCTAGAAACGCTAAACTTAACCCAGACGCTTCTCCCCGGACTCAGCGGCCACTCAGGAGTTTTCCTGACCGTGTTAAGGCTCCGGAATGGGCATCGAGGCCTGGTACATGGACTCCTCCGAGGAGGACCAGCGAAAGCCGCACAAATTGAGCCCCCCCCGGCCCGTGTCCCCGGAACAGCTCCAGGCTTTGGGGGTCTTCCACTGGAAGGTGAAGTCTCCGCACGGCCGCGTTACGTAATCACGTTTAAAAGTATAAAAACACGTGTGCACGGACACCAGGAGTGGTCAGTGGTCAGGGAAAACCCTGCTAGAGTGTTTTCATGTGTGTGCAGCTGAATGCGGACATCTATGAGACGGATCCGGAGCTGGAGCAGATCCGGAAGAGCCGGGGTTACTCCTACATGGATATTATCACGATTCATAAGGACAAACTCCCCAACTATGAGGATAAGGTAACCCTTTTCAACGTTAGTTTGTTTGTTCTCTGCTTCCAAACGGGACTGTTTCTTGTAATCATTTGAGGTGGTGTCATTCTCAGATTAAAGACAAGAGTTTTGCAAAATTACAGAAGAAATGGGACTGAAAACAAGCAGTGTGGGATCACGTGACAGGGAACAGAACAAACAGCTTTGGGATTTCCTCCAAGAAGTCTGGGAACAAAGTCCCCAAAGAAAGAAATCCCCTTTAAAGATAAAAAGACTCAAAGCTTTCTATTTGTTTCTTGTTTGAAGAAAGAAATGCCCTTTAAAGAAAAGACTCAAAGCTTTCTATTTGTGTCTTGTTTTAAGAAAGGAATCCCCTTTAAAGAAAAGACTCAAAGCTTTCTATTTGTTTCTTGTTTTAAGAAAGAAATCCCCTTTAAAGAAAAGACTCAAAGCTTTCTAATTGTTTCTTGTTTTCTTTGAAACATCTTTTTTTAAATGGAGACTGATGGAGACCCCTGAACTGTGTGGACCCTGTCTGTCCCCCCCAGCTGAAGATGTTTTACGAGGAGCACCTCCACCTGGACGATGAGATCCGCTACATCCTGGAGGGTCGGGCTTATTTCGACATCCGGGACCGGGAGGACCGGTGGATCCGGATCGCCATGACGACGGGAGACCTGATCACGCTGCCGGCCGGCATCTACCACCGCTTCACCCTGGACGAAACGGTACTGACCGGGGGTTTTATTCCAGGCTAAAAAGAGCTTGGTGTTGTTCAAATCCCTCCAATCGTCCTATAGCTGCTCCCAACTTTTTCTCACTGAAAGTGCAAATTATCCAACTGATGGTTCCAAACGTTTATTAAAGGATTTTTCGTCATGCAAACGCCCAAGACCACCGTGAGCACTGCAAAATACGCGGTGGAAAATATTCATCAATAAAACCGTCATGTTACCTTACATGAATTATCAAATTAAACTTATTAAACAAAATATAAATTCTCTAAATTGTCCGTACCGTATGCCCCTCCAATCAGAAGGTTGGGAGTTGCTAGAAGTCCGTTTCTTCCATTTTTTCCGTCCTTTGCCTTTTCTCTTGCACACGCAGACTAATTATAAACAAACTCAGAACTTCCTATCAAAGGCATCACGTGATCAAGTGAAGACCCAATCGGTGACGTCTCCATATGACATTGTTAGAATATTTTCCCAAATTATGTAAATATTAATCGAAAGATACACAAAGATATGAAATAGATATTAAAAGTAAAACATATTAATATTCATAAAATAAATTCACACAGAAAAAATGCCCATGTAACTGCGTAAGCTACAACTAGTCTCTTTTTCTGTCCCCAGAACTACGCTAAGGCCATGCGGCTGTTCGTGGGCGAGCCGGTGTGGAAATCCTACAACCGACCGGCCGACGACTTCCAAATACGCCAGCAGTACGTGGCGTCTCTGCAGGGGTCCTGAAGGAGACGCGGAGTCCAAGATCCTGCAGAAAAGCTGTGGTTTTACGCCCCAAAATGTTTAGAGATGGGTGAAAAGATGAAACCTCACAGGGGAAATAAGCTCTCCCTCTTCTGGGTTTACTCAGCTTCATAATGGTTCCAGTTCACCTACAAGTTTCATGTAGTTTTTACCCAATAAAAGCCTCAAATTGAGATTTAAAGTGGGACAGAGGTCCCTCTAACTCTACAGAACAAACAAAATGCAAAAATAATAAAGCTGCTACGTGGGGTCTGTTTCTTTATTTTTAATAATTTTTCCATTAATCAGGAGAGGTTGATTTAAAACAGATCCATTTATGATAAAAACATTTTTTAATATACATAAATATGATCAACATGATGTGGAAATAACAGAGAAATAAAGATATCCGCGAAACACAAAAAATCAAACATAATGTGCCTGTGTGTGTGTGTGTGTGTGTTTTTTAATGATTTTTTACAGCTTTGGATATTTTCTTCTTTTAGTGGACAGAAGCTGATGCCGGCTGATGAAATCGAGTGGTTTGATAATCCGGAAATCCAGCAGAAGAAGCCGCTCTTATAGTTTTTATTAGTCCGAGTTCAGGCTGAAGCTGGGATAATGCCCACGAGTAGCCGGCAGCTCCAGTAGTGTGAGTTTCTGCGGAAGTGAGGAGCTCTGTAGTGGTTTCTGAACAGCAGAAATCCTCAAATCTAAGGTTCGGACAAAGGTTTAGACACTGGAAAAGGCCTTCCCATGACCCAGTCTGCAAAGGGGAGGTCATGTGACAGGCAGAGAGGAAGCAGACAAGAAATAGACAAAAAGAAAAGGAGAAAAAAAAAACGTTCCCTAACATCAAAAACCTAAAACTGTAGCGTGAGGCCGGGTTTCTGGGGAAGTAAGGAGCTCTGTAGTGGTACTGAGAGAACACCAACATGGATCTGAACCCCAGAAATCCTCAAATCTAAGGTTTGGACAAAGGTTTAGACACTGGAAAGGCTTTCACATGACCCAGTCTGCACAGGGGAAGTCATGTGACAGGCAGAGATGAAGCGGCAGACAAGAAAGAGACAAAAAGAAAAGGAAAAAAAAATGTTCCCTAACATCAAAAACCTAAAACGGTAAAAAGTTTGCCCTTCACTTTTGGAGGAGGCAGCAGCTCCTCGCTCTGATCCACTTCCAGGAGGTTCTGCTTGTTGCTTAGCAACCCTCGGAGGTCAGGAGTTCGTCGCTGCGGCCTTTTTCTACTGTTGTTGTTTTGTTTTTGTTCGGATAAACCAGAGTAGAGAGCGGGGGTTAGCCGGTGAGGTCCGGAGCTGCTGGTTCCTCTGACTTCTGGACGGAAACAGGAGACTCATTTCCCTCTTCACTTTAAACCAGACCGGCACGTTTTCTACTTTATTTCCTCGTTAAATCTTTAAAACAGAACGGCCTCCTCTTGGGTTCTTATGCGAGCGGTTTTGTGTGAGTGTGCGGCTCCTTTCTGGGTTTTCTCCTCAGATAAAGGAACCACTGTGTGTTCCTCCCCCTGCTGGTCTACAGGAGGAACCCCAGATCCATAAAAAAACTCCTCAAAAAGCCCGTTTGAAAGCACTTTTAAGGAGGCTAAGCAGAGGAGGAGAAACCCTAATAGAGGTGTGGAGCTAGCTTCTTTTCCACAGAGGATTTTAGTCTCTGTTACACAGGAGGGGAGTGAGTTTTTCCTCTCACGCCAGACCGGCACGTTTCCTACTTTATTTCCTCTTTAAATCTTTAAAACAGAACGGACGCCTCTTAGGTTCTTATGCGAGCGTTTTTGTGAGTGTGCGGCTCCTTTCTGGGTTTTTCCTCAGATAAAGGAACCACTGTGTTCCTTCCCCTGTTGGTCTACAGGAGGAACCCCAGATCCTTAAAAAAACTCCTCAAAAAGCCCGTTTGAAAGCACTTTTAAGGAGGCTAAGCAGAGGAGGAGAAACCCTAATAGAGGTGTGGAGCTAGCTTCTTTTCCACAGAGGATTTTAGTCTGTGACACAGGAGTGGAGTGAGTTTTTCCTCTCACGCCGGACCGGCACGTTTTCGACTTTATTTCCTCTGTAAATCTTTAAAACAGAACGGGGAGCCCGGGTTCTTATGCTAGCGGTTTTGTGTGAGTGTGCGGCTCCTTTCTGGGTTTTCTCCTCAGATAAAGGAACCACTGTGTTCCTTCCCCTGCTGGTCTACAGGGGGAGGAACCCCAGATCCATCCAGATCCTTCAAAAAACTCCTCAAAAAGCCCGTTTGAAAGCACTTTTAAGGAGGCTAAGCAGAGGAGGAGAAACCCCTCTAAGAGGTGTGGAGCTAGCTTCTTTTCCACAGAGGATTTTAGTCTGTGACACAGGAGGGGGGTGAGTTTTTCCTCTCACGCCAGACCGGCACGTTTTCGACTTTATTTCCTCTTTAAATCTTTTAAAACAGAACGGCCTCCTCGAGCGGTTTTGTGTGAGTGTAGATCTACAGGAGGAGGAACCCCAGATCCATCCAGATCCATAAAAAAACTCCTCGAAAAGCCCGTTTGAAAGCACTTTTAAGGAGGCTAATCAGAGGAGGAGAAACCCCCCTAGAGGTGTGGAGCTAGCTTCTTTTCCACAGAGGATTTTAGTCTCTGTGACACAGGAGGGGAGTGAGTTTGTCCTCTCACGCCAGACCGGCACGTTTTCGACTTTATTTCCTGTTTCTTCTCCTCAGATAAAGGAACCGCTCTGTGTTCCTCCCCCTGTTGGTCTACAGGAGGAACCCCAGATCCATAAAAAAACTCCTCAAAAAGCCCGTTTGAAAGCACTTTTAAGGAGGCTAACAGAGGAGGAGAAACCCCTCTAAGAGGTGTGGAGCTAGCCTCCTCTCCACAGAGGATTTTAGTCTCTGTGACACAGGAGTGGGGTGTGTTTTTCCTCTCTTCCCCCCCCCCCCCCCCCAGGCCCCCCCCCAGGCCTCTTAGACCAGTTTGAGGCACTGCGTGTTGAAGCTGTCTCCCTCCCGGCCGGCCACGGACTCCAGCAGCGCCTGCTTCTTCTGCGTGCTGCGTGAGGACTCCAGCTCGTACATGGTGGTGAGGTTGAAGAGCACGCTCTCGTGCAGGTACAGGGCGGGGTCCCGCTGCACCAGGCCCTCCAGCTGCCCCAGGGACTCCTTCAGCCGGCCCAGGTACAGCAGGCACACCGCCGCGTTGTTGTTGGCCTGAAACAGAAACACAGGGCCTAAAGTAGGGTCGTCAAAAGTATCGATACTCCAAAAAGTATCGATACTAAAATGTGGTATCCGGATACGATACTCATTTTCAAAAGTATCGATACCACCGCCCCCCCCCTTCTCTCAGATTTATTTATGTATTTTCTTACGTTGTTTATGGTCATTAACGTGACGTTAGCATTGAATTGCTAGCTTCGGCTAATGGCTAATAATAACGTGCTACCATTAATCAAGTACATATCCAACTCCGCCCACATCCAAGTCACCAATAGGAAGATCCCATGAGGTAATGCCTCATGGCAATATAGACATTCATTTAAAAATAGTGAAATGAATCTTTCGAACACTTAATTAAACTCTATCCATAATATTATGTTAAAATAGTATTGATACCACTGCCCCCCCTTCTCTCAGATTTATTTAAGTATTTTATTACGTTGTTTATGGTCATTACCGTGACGTTAGCCTTGAACTGCTAGCTTCGGCTAATGGTTAATAATAACGTGCTACCATTAATCAAGTACATATCCAACTCTGCCCACATCCAAGTCACCAATAGGAAGATCCCAGGCAAGAAAATGGTAATGCCTCATGGCAATATAGAGATTAATTTAAAAATAGTGAAATTAATCTTTCGAACACTTAATTAAACTCTATCCATAATATTATGTTAAAATAGTATCGATACCACTGCCCCCCTTCTCTCAGATTTATTTATGTATTTTCTTACGTTGTTTATGGTCATTACCGTGACGTTAGCATTGAATTGCTAGCTTCGGCTAATGGCTAATAATAACGTGCTCAAGTATATATCTAACTCCGCCCACATCCAAGTCACCAATAGGAAGATCCCAGGCAAGAAAATGGTAATGCCTCATGGCAATATAGACATTAATTTAAAAATAGTGAAATGAATCTTTCGAACACTTAATTAAACTCTATCCATAATATTATGTTAAAATAGTGTAATGTTAAATAGGTTTGTAGAGTAAGTCCTAACAAGTTTAACCAAAAAATATTTATTTCTCACAATTATGAAGGCTGTAGGGTCAGGGTTAGGGTTAGGATTAGGGTAGTTAATTCGGGCCACCAGTCACAATAACATTAGTAACAGGTCAGTTTGAAATGAAAGACACTAACCTGTCAAAATTCAGTTAAATTTTGGGGTCTTTGTTTTTATCCTTGTGGTATCGAAAATGGTATCGAGTATTTTCCTGAGTATCGGTATCCAGTTGAAAATGTTACTATCGTGACAACCCTAGACTAAAGGGCGGATTTAAGCTGCTTCTCGGCTAAAAAGCCTGTTCGGTGGAGACACAGGACTGGCTCATCCCTTGAGTTAGAGGCCTTTTTCTGGTCAGAGTTGTTAAGTGACCAAAACAAAACTAAAGGCTACAGTCAAGGCTGAAGAAGAAACAAACTTTTAAAGGGTTTCGGAATATATGATATATGATGAACTATTACTATTATATGATGCTTATATTGTATATTATATGTTCTTTCTTATGTATTTGCCTGCCTAGGGACTTCGGATGAAAACTAGCTCTGTAGCTATAATCCGGCATATTGACATTTGTTTTTATACTGATGTTAATTAATGTGCTTTGTCCCTATTCAAATAAATAAATAAAAATAAATATTAAGACTGCTTCAAAAGGTTTTACCAAAGTATAAAATGGGAAGAAATGAGGGCTGGATGAACAAGTTGGAGTACTGTTTCTGACATGGTGCACAGTTAGGACCACGTCTGACTTTTCTCGTGATCAGATCGGATCAAAATCAAGATCTGTTGGTGTTTTGTGTGAATCTTGGGACCTAAAACCAAAATAAAACGTCCCTCTTCTAAAACTTTAAGCTCCTTTCTTCTTGCAGATGAAACAACAAACCTATGACTGTGTGAGACGTGGGGTCATACTCACAACGGGGTTTTTGGGGTCCGTTTTCAACACCTCGGTGAAAGAGGCGTGTGCTTCGGTGTAGTTGTTCTGACTGAGGTAGATAAAAGCCCTGAAACGACAAACAAAGACTTAGTCCCGCTTTTCAAACCGTGGTGCTGACCTGAACCCCCTCTTGGCATTTACAACCCGTTCATTAGGGTTCATGTTCCTTGAGTCCCTAAAAGGTTTCACACAGCCTGGTCACACCCATCAGGGAATTTAGGAACAACCCAAAGGAAAGCACAAACCAGTCATGTGACCACTAAACTCTTAACATTTTCTTGTGATGCTTATATTATATACAGTGGGGGAAATAAGTATTTGACCCCTTGTTGATTTTGCAGGTTTGCCCACATACAAATAATGCTTATTTTTCCTCATCGGATGGTTATCAATTTTTATAAATTCATATGATGTGATTTTCTGGAATTTTCTTTGGGATTCTGTCTTTCACTGGATGTAGTTCACTGGAAGGAGAATGTACATATAATTAAAGTTATAGATCGTTGCATAATTTGTAAGTGGGCAAACCTGCAAAATCAGCAAGGGGTCAAATACTTATTTCCCCCACTGTATTATATGTTCTTTCTTATGTATTTGCCTACCAAGGGGATACGGATGAAAACTAGCTTTGTAGCTATAATCCGGCATATTTACATTTTTTTTTATAGTGATGTTCATTAATGTGCTTTGTCCCTATTCAAATAAATAAAAAATAAAATAAAAAAGAAGGGCCACAGTAGACTCGTAGAGACGGCTGGACGGGCTCCAAATGACGTTCCTCACAGCTTAAACCGCCCCTGTGTCTGAGGCCTGGTCCCGTTCTCATCACTCTCAGAGCTGAGCATTTCTGCCCAGAAGAAGCCCAAAGCACAGGATCTGGAAAAGGAGCACCGTTAACGTGCGCGCACCTGTTCATCAGCACGCAGGTGGCGTGGCCGGGCTCGTTTCCCGACGACTGGCAGGCCCTCTCCACGTCCTGGAAGTACCTCTCCGCCGTTTTAACGTCTCCGATCTAGCAGCAAACACACAGATGTCGGGAAAAATCTCAGTTAACTTTACTTAATTAACCCTTTAAAGCCTGACCCAAGAAATAAGTAGAGATGTTTTTCTTTTTGTTTCTCTGAAGTCTTTATTTGGCCCTCTAACAAAATATAAAAGAAACAAAAATAATTTCTCAATTTCCATAATTGATACTATGCGATAAATCAAAATGATTGTTGTGTAGTCTTCTGCCTGCTGCTATTAGGTATATCTGTTTGTGTACAACAGGGTTTGAAAAAAGCTGTTACCATTCAACGATGCAAAAGGTTTTCATTTCAGAAACCGTATGTATCAAATATGATACATTTGACATTATAGGGTTTAGTAGTTATTTAGGGCAGAGTGAGTTGAATCTGGTTGTTGCTGGTAGCTGATCCCCCAAGACTTTTGGAGTACGATTTGGTTTACAGTTTTATTTCAAAATGTGAGGAAAATTTCCATAAAAAGGTGTTTTTTATTGTGTTTTTTCACCATATGAAACAGAAGATTTTTATCTATCACAAAAAGACTTTAAATAGTAAAAATAAAGCTATTGTACCTTGAGGCTTGTTCATTATACATGCAAGTCAAAAATATATGGTGATCATTGACTATTAGATACACTTATGCACATATTAGTGTAGCAGTGACAAAAAATTAAACAACTAAAGTTGACTAGGTGAGGCTTTATGACGTCGTGAGGATATCTTTATCTTTCACAAAGAGAGACAGAGACTCCTCCTGCTTTTCAGTAAAGAATGAGACATCTGGTTTCTGCCCCATTTGGTCATTTTTGTTCTAGCAGCAGGGGCTATTTTTCTCTGTAACCCTGGCAGAAGCTCCCGGGCGGTATTTAAAATCACCCACCGCAACGTAACAAATGCAAAGACATCGTCTCAGAGACCGGAAGCGGCTTAAACTGATGACCTCATAAACCTTCAGTAATGGGAAATTATCTGTGAGCGCTTTTTATATTAGGACAAATGAGGGCGTTATTCTAAGGAAACACAATGAAATGAGGGTTGAAAATGGATCCAGAACAAGCACAGATCCTCTAGTGAGGGAAGTATTCACTCGCTTATGGATTTCTGTTACTATGACACAGGCTTAACCCGGGTACCAATGTCCACCTGTGTGCTCATTAGGAGCTAAACAGGCGGATTAGCATGTAGCTAGCTCCAGGATCGTTATTAGGCTTCAAACGCATTTGATTTGGCGTCGAAACAACAAGAAACCAAATGCATGTATCATAATTATAAGGATCTTAGAAAAAGTTGTTTTTTCCCTCTTTTATTCATTTATACTTCTGCTGGTGTAGCACAAAGATAGGACCATAAACTCTATCTGTGGTCTGAGAGTGTGAGGTTTTTTTTTTTTGCTAATCCATGCATCTATTAATAATAATGTTAATGTGCAGACCTGCAGGAAGATGCGTCCGATGCCACTGAGCAGCTGCGCGCTCTGCTGGGGCTCGTACTGGATGATGGAGTGATAGGTCTCCACAGCCAGGATGTAGTCCTGGGGGCAAACAGAGGGGGGACACGGCTCTCAGAGGCGAGAATGAGCGAATGATAATGAGAGGGAAGCGGCAAAAGAGGAGGGAAGCTGGAGAGGAGTCGAGCAGAGAAAGGCAGAGGGCGTCCGGGGTGACAAGGAGCAGAGTTTAGGCGGAGAGAAAGAGCATTAATCAAACATGTAGAGGTCAGAGAGGTGTGTGGGCAGAACGGGAGCAGAGGAGGCGTCACCCAACACCCATATGCATACGAATGTCGCAGAGTTTTCTAACACTTCTTTAAAAAAAACGGATTCAAATCCAGACGGTTCTGACATCAGCCTTTACTTTCAGAATCAGAAATACTTTAACTCATTGGCTGCCAAAGACGTCTATAGACGTCAATTCAAATACAACCGTTGGCTGCTAAAGACATCTATAGACGTCTTTTATGTTTTTCAAAGAGAGTGGCTTTGGGGGACGATCTGCTAAAGCTTGTCCGTAAATATCAGGCTTCTAGACAGAGTATGTAGTAACAAATTGACCCTCTAGGGGGCAGTGCCACTTTTGATGGGAGATGAGCATAGACTGTAGGCAAACAAGAAAAAGGTAACGGTTCGCTATGAGAGAACATGTCGCCGGTGAGACGCAAGTCCAGGAAGAACGGAATAAGGTAGAAACACATTTTTTTTCCTGATGAAAGAGGAGAGTCTACTCTTTCTTTTGGTGTGTTCGGTGTTTACATAGTCATAGCACAAACTATTCTGTGGCTCTTGAAAAATCAGTCAAAATGCTCAAAAAACTCTGGCAGTATGGGACTCTGTTCTGAAAATGGCTGGCAGTCAATGAGTTAACATCACGGAGGGAAATTATTTTTGTTACTCTCTCCATAAATAAAACAATGGCAAATACATATATACGTTGAACTACTCTGAATGAGATCAGTCTACCTGCAGAGCCTGAGCCTGATGGCCAGCCTCTCTGAATGCAGAGGCAGTTCATACTGGCCTCTGCATTCACCTCCTCGTCTCCTTTCTCTGCCCCAGCAGGCTCCACCCCCCCCCACATCCTCCATGGACTGTCCCAGCTCACATCAGGAGTGGGTCCGTTAACGATAAGAACCCCGCAAACCAACAGACTTGACAGAATTGGCCAATATGCTGCACATTTTTGGCTAAAATTGTGTCATAAAGACTGAAGGAGAGCGGCTAAAGACGCCGCAGTACCAGTTCTGAGCAGTAGGTGGCACTGTGGCTCTCTTTGTACGACCTGAGCCCACACCCACCTCTCCCCCTCTCTCCTCCACTCCCCTCCTTCACTCTCACTGACCAAGAATCCAATTAGTGGTCAGTCTGTGGGGATTTCACTGTGAATCCTCCACCAACCTGGCATCAGAGATCTCTGAGCAGGGACACACACTCCAGGCGTGGGCAGACAAACACACACACACACACACACGCACACACACACACATACACACAGAAACACACACCTACCTTCATCAGCAGCAGGCAGTTGGCCATGGAGTACATGACCCGGCTGAGACGAGACCTCCACAGCTTCAGAGACGCTATAAACAGGAAGATATTAAGAAGGAAGAAAGAGACTGAGCCACTCCAATTTTTTTTCTTTTTATACCCACTTCCTTGGATTTT